GTTGTTCAGCCAACACCCATACCAGAGCTAATACCCGTCATCGGAGAACCTGCAAGTATGCTTACTTGGAGGATGATGAGGAGACTATCGATGATCATTTCCACCTCCCTCACTGATGATGAAGAGGAGAGGTTGTTGCAAGTGCTTAAATTGTAGAAAAGGCCATTAGATGGACATTGGTAGACATTCCTGGTATTAGCCCGTCCAAATGCATGCATAGGATTTTGTTGGAGGATGGAGCCAAACCAGTGAGACAGCCACAAAGGAGGCTCAACCCGGTGACTCTAGACGTCGTAAAAAGGAGGTGACCAACCTTTTACAGGCTTGGGATCATATACCCCATCTCGGTAGTCAATGGGTGAGTCCAGGTTCAGGTTGTCCCTAAAGAAAACAGGCATCACCGTGGTGAAGAATGAGAAAGATGAGCTAATTCCATCAAGAGTGCAAAACAATTGGAGGGTCTGCATTGATTATAAGAAATTCCCACCATGATCAGGGAGTTCTTCTTTCCCCTTCAACTCTTTTATCTTGCTTGTCCTATTTGTTTAGTGGATATGATTGTGTTTACATTGAGGACAATGTCTGATTTAAGTATGGGGGAGATTGTTCTTTGTTTTTATTTAGGATTTTTAGTTTTCTTTGTTATTTCAGAGTTAGTGTTTTGTGTACGAGTTTGCATGCTTCTTTGGGATTTCTGGGTTTTGTTTAGGTTTTGGGAACTTTCTTCACTCTTGGATATGAGCTGCATGATATTCTATGGATTGAAATCCTTATTCTTCTTTTCATGTCAAGTTGATTTTGAGGTTTGAGAGGTTGATTTGGAAGTGATAGATTTACCTTGTGTGAGGTTTTGAGCCCTCTCTATTCTTTCTTTCTTGTGTCTTATGCCTCTTGATTGCTTGCGCAGTAACCTTGGCTTGAATCTTTTGATGTTTCTCGATTCAGCATGCATGTTTGGAGCTGATTATGGCAATTTGTGTTGTGATTAACCTCTCTAGCCAAATAAGCTCTACCTGAATCAATTCCCCTTGATAGCCCCGTTGAGTCTATGTTTCCCTTTTACTTCTTTTAAAGCTCATTACAAGCCTCAAGTGAAAAACCCATGATTACCTTAACCTTAGGGATTTTTGGAGCTTTGGAATCGTTTTGGAAAAAGCTGAATAAGTGTACGGGTGTGTTTTCATTGGATGATATATTGGCTAGTTGGTTCCTTAATATACAATTTATGCAATTTAATTTAAAAAAGCGTGAAAATCAAAAAGAAGTTCAAAAGAAAGAAAAGTATTATTGAGGAAAAGGAAATTGAAAGGATTGGTATTAGAGGTCTTTGAGCATGCTCTGATGTTTATTTTTGTGGAAAATCGAAAACGCAAAAGAAGAGACATAATTATAATCGAAACAAAAATTTTAAATATTGACAAAAGAGTAAACAAACTTGAATACAAATTGCAGAAGATGAAAGGCGGTTGCGTGGCTACTGCATGGTGTCCTTTCCTCTCAACCCTACATCTTGGTTATATAAATAACCCTAACCCTAATCTTAACCTAGGTTTGGGCCCAACTGGTCCACAAAACACATCATAAGTTGGCTTCAATGCAGGTCCGTGAACTTAAAACATGTGCAGTATTTTCAATACTAATCGAAATTAAGCGATTCTAGTCTCTTTTGAAAGACTTTTTACTTAGCTTTAAAACGTCACCGTTTCTACTATTTTCAGAGGTCTAATGAATTTAGGAGACTGAAATTACTGAAGCATGTCCATTGGGTCGACCTGGTGCACTTGACTCGTTTTGGATAATTTATGTAAAATCCAATTTAGCTCTGAATTGAATGATTCTGGATCCTCTGTAAAGCTGAATGTGTCTAGTTTATAATGCGTCTAGAATCATGGTTTTTGGAGCTCTATAAAAAAATGATAAATAAAAAGTAAACCAATGTTACTTCCCATATAGAATAAAATATGACAATTGACCCAATTTTCCAAGCCCAAAATTGCTTTAAACTGTAATATGGCATCTGGCCCAATCTTCTAGGCCGAAAAAATCTTTAAATTGTCTTGAAAATAATAATGAGCAAAAATTAGATCAAATAGATTCAAATTAAGTAAAATCTGAATTATTGGCCCAATGAAGCCCAATTAATAAAAATTCACTAATAACAAAAAGTTAAGCCCAAAATACTAATTAAAATAAGTTCACA